AATTCTGCCTTTAACTTTGAAAGTTTTTTTGTTGAGGCGTTTGAGCGAGCAAGTTACACATGCTTTTGACCATTTCAGGCTCTGACGAAGGCGAAGAAGCCGAAACGTAAGCCTTGTATAAAAAGTTCAATCTTGAAAGGCTTGAAGAATCATTCCTACTAAACTAATCATGCCAAGATTGCAAGAAGGTCGAACATGGACTATTCTGGTTAACTTTCTTACACCTTTTCGGTTGATAACGCGAGGATGGCATATCCACGTAAAAGCCAGCGTGATTGCTCCCTTTAATTAGAAGAAGACTTGCCCGAAATCTTTGAAACATGACCTTATAGCCATCGGGCGGGATTAGAAGCCTTCAAGCAATCCATCAGAGAGTGAGAAAGAAAGGTAACTCTTTCGCACTCTAGGAGGCCCGATGTTGTCGCGTCTCGAAGTGCGAGACAACGCGCTAAGGCTTTGCCTTGCGATGACATCCTCATCAATCGCGGCAAACGCGTCTGGGCCCTCTCGCGTACGCGAACCTTGTCGCGTTGTCCCCCTTCACGCAGCGCCTTGTGCAGTGATTAAGTATAACACGGTAAATGGGACTTCATTCGGTCCATTCAATTTCCGGGACATCTAGCCACTACGGTCATTGACCAAACAACGATAGCCGCCACCACAGCAGCTAATAATCACTCGATTGATGCGACATCAAATAGTCAAACTACAAGTGACCGTCTTATGTTAAGCGCTTTTCAAAATGGGAAGCAAATGATAGTGACAGTATCATGCTCCTTTCAGCTATCTGGAGGTGGAACTCTCAACGAGTGCGGCTGCCATCATCGATGCGGCTCTGTTAACTACACTGGTGTGCAAAACTTAAGGACCGAAGTAACTTTCACATGATATCTCACTGCTAGTTAACCTAGGTGGACCAAATTTGGCACATATATAGAAGTAAATGTTGCGGTACAGTGCAGAGAGTTACTAACAGAAAAGCGCAAAGGGGCGATTGGAAAAGACATTTTTCTGCAAATACCCTGTCTGAAGCGGTCGATAGGTGAGGCTTCTCCAACTCATGGTAGACATTCAAAAGAGAGGAGCTGGTTCTTGATGGGGTGTATGAACACTACGGACTGCAAAGTATGCTCTGCTACGTGTTCCCATACAGGCCGTAAGATTAGTTAAGAGTTCTTGAGGAGAAGTGACCGATTCCTTGGAGACCGCGATTGACAACTGCAGGACTATTGTTGGCACATGGTCATGTGCTACAATAGCTCATCTGAATCCACGCCACACGTGCTCCATAGAATTAGACTGGAGGAAATAAATGGCTTCACCAATTACCGAAAATCCTCACTTTTCAAGAGTTTTCCACCCAGGCTGCTCGATACTCTCGCACACTGCCCTCCATACGATTGAAGCTGAGGGCAAGGGAACCCTTGGAAAGATGCACATGACAGAAGGGTACAACACCACAATCACGTTGATCAGAAAGTGTAACGCGATCATGAGTTGGGGATCAGTACGCCCCGACAACTTTATGCCTCCCCACATCATGTCGCATGGACTACCAAAACAATCATCTCAGTATTGTGCTGTCCCGGAGCCTCATCAGGACCTAAATGTTATAAAACACAAAGAGGCACCAAAATTTTATTTCAAAAGAATTCCCAAAAGTTCACAAAATATTCAAAAAACTCCAAAATTCCAAAAACACGAAAAGTTTCAAAAGAACT